TTTGGGGTGGGTTAGGGTGGGTTTTGGGAAGTTTGGGGTGGGTTTGGGAGGTTTAGGATGGGTTTAGGGTGGGTTGGGATGGGTTAGGGATGGGTTTAGGGGGTTTGAGCTGGGTTTTGGGGTGGGTTTGAGGGGGTTTTGGGTGGGTTTCGGGTGGTTTTGAGAGGTTTAGGATGGGTTTGGGGTGGATTTGAGCTGGGTTTGTGGGTTTTGGGGTGGTTTTAGGGAATTTGGGGTGGGTTTTGGTGGGTTTGGGGTAGTTTTGGGGTGGGTTTGGGGTGGTTTTAGGGTATAGGCTGGCGGTTGTGGGGTGTTGGGGCAGGGGATGGTGGAAGGTTGGGACGGGGTGAATTTGGGGTGGGTTTGGGGTGAGTTTTGGTGGTTTTGGGGTGTTTTTGGGGTGAGTTTCAGTGGTTTTGGGGTGAGTTTCAGTAGTTTTGAGGTGTTTTTGAGGTGGTTTTGGGGTGAGTTTCAGCGGTTTTGGGGTGTTTTTGGGGTGCAGGCTGCCTGTTGTGGGGTGCTGGGCCGGGGGGTGTGTAGGGCGCTGTAGGGGCCACGCAGCGTTGCTGCGGGGGGGTTTTGGGGTGTTTTAGGGTTTTGGGTGGGACGCTGAGTGTTGTGAGGGTGTCGTTGGGGTCCTTGGGGTGCAGGGGGGTGTTTTGGGGTGCTGCAGGTGGGTGCTGAACAACGGGGCACTGGGAGCACTGGGAAGGGGACACTGGGGACTTTGGGACAGCAACATTGGAGCAGGGGCACTAGGGACACCGGGAGGGGGAAATGGGGACCCCTGAGAGGACTGGGGACAGCGGGGACACTGGGGACACTGTCCCCACTCCGCCCCTCATCCCCGTGCCTCAGTTTCCCCCCGCTCGCAGCCCGGGGCGGGGCGGGGGGGTCGCTCCCAGCCCCACCCGCGATGCCGGGGGTCCCGCTGCTCTTCGTCCTCCTCCTCCTCCTCCTCCTCATGGCCGGGACCCCCGCCCAGTCCTTCCCGCGGGACCTGGTGGCTCGCAGCACCGTGGGGCTCGCAGGTGAGCGAGGCTCGGGGGGGCGGCCCCGGGGGGGCTCGGGGGGCTGCGGGGTGGGGGGTCTCACCGTGTCCTCCCGCTCGGCAGCCACCGCCGCGTACCCGCGCTTCGGGGGTCTCCGGGGGGACAACGGCACGGCACGGCTCGGCCTCGACTTCCAGCGGATGCTGCGGCTGAACGGGACGCTCTTCGTGGCTGCCCGGTGAGCGCGGCGGGGCTCGCCGGTACCGGGACGCGGCTCCCGTGCGCGTCCGTGCCCGAGCATCCTCGTCGGTGCTTGTGCAAGGATTTGCACGCTCCTACGCCCTTGTCGGGGCTTCCCCCGGGCGGGACCCCGCAGTCCCCTGTGCGTGCTGTCCCCATGTCGCCTTGCACACCCCCGTGCCCCTTGCACATCCCCGTGTCCCCTTGCACACTCCCGTGCCCCCTTGCACACTCCTGAGCCCCCTTTCACACCTCCGTGTCCCTTGCACACTCCTGTGTCCCTTTTGTGTCCCTTTGCACATCCCTGAGCCCCCTTGCACACCCCTGAGCCCCCTTGCACACCCCTGAGTCCCCTTGCACACTCCCGTGTCCCTTGCACACCCCTGTGTCCCCTTGCACATCCCCGTGCCCCCTTGCACACTCACGCCCCCTCCCCAGGGATCACATCTACGCCTTCGACCTGCGGCAGGACAAGGGGACGCTGTACCCGGAGCGGGTAAGGGGGACGGGGACCCTGGGGACAAGGGGGGGCACACGGGGCGAGGGTCCCCGTGCCCACCCACCCCCTGCCCCGTCTCACCCGGCAGCACCTCACCTGGGAGACGCAGGACAGGGAGAACTGCGCCATGCGGGGCCGGCGGCAGGTGAGGGGGCGAGGACGGGGGGGATTTGGGGTGCGGGGGTTTGGGGTGCGGGCTTTGACGGGTGGGGCAAACAGGGCTCAGGGCGCTGACGCCGGGGTCCCCGTGTGTCCCCACCACAGGACGAGTGTCACAATTACATCCGGGTGCTGGTGCCCCGCGACGCCGAGACCCTCCTGGCCTGCGGCACCAACGCCTTCAGCCCCCTGTGCCGCACCTACCAGGTGGGGGGGCCCGGGGCTGGCGACCCCCGGGGTGAGGGTGGGCTCGCAGCCTGCCTGGGATGGGCTGGGGGTCTCAGCAGTGTCCGTGCTGGGGGTGGGGATGGCACAAGGGGGTGCTGAGTATTGTTGGGGGGGGTCTCACGGCCTCTGGGCGTGTCCCCCCCCCCCAGGTGAGCAGCCTGGCACAGCAGGGTGACGAGGTCAGTGGCCAGGCCCGGTGTCCCTTTGATGCCAAGCAAAGCATCGTGGCTCTCTTTGTCGGTGGGTGCTGGGCACACGGGGTGGGGGGGGAGCCGGGGGGGCACAGGGGTGACCCGGTGTGTCCCCCCCACCGCAGATGGCAGCCTGTACTCGGCCACGGTGGCCGATTTCCAGGCGAGTGATGCCGTGATCTACCGCAGCCTGAGCCCCGGGCAGGCTCCCCTGCGCACCCTCAAATACAGCTCCCGCTGGCTGCAGGGTACCCCGAAATGGGGACCCTGAGGGTGTCCAGGTGCTGACCCTGGGTGGTGCCCAGGTGCTGACCCTCAGGGTGCCCAGGTGCTGACCCTGAGGATGCCCAGGTGCTGACCCGGGTGCCCAGGTGCTGACCCGCGTTGCTGTGCAGGTGCTGGTGGCCCGGGTGGCCCGGGTGTGCCGCAACGACCGCGGCGGGTCTCCGCGGGTGCTGGAGCGGCGCTGGACGTCCTTCCTGAAGGTGCGGCTGCAGTGCTCCATCCCTGGGGACACCGTCTTCTACTTCGATGTCCTGGAGGCCGTGACACCCCCCCAGACCCTGCACGGGCGCCCCGCTGTTCTCGCCCTCTTTGGCACCCAACCCAACAGGCAGGGACAGGGGGACAGGGGGACGTGGGGATGTGGGGACATGGGGACATGAGGGCGTGGGGATGTAGGGTCATGGGGACGTGGGGACATGGGGACACAGGGAGGGCGTTGCCCAGGGGGACATGGGGATGGACTCAAATGGGGACATGGGGACACACGTGGGACACGGAGGGGTCCTGGTCAAACCGAGGCCATCCTGTCCCCTCTGCTGTCACCGCAGCATCCCCGGCTCGGCCGTGTGCGCCTTCTACCTGGCAGACGTGGAGCGCTCCTTCGAGGGCCCCTTCGCCGAGCCCCGTGGGACCACCTGGACCCCCGTGCCAGAGGAGAGGGTCCCTCAGCCCAGGTACCACCCCAGGCACCCCCACCCCACACCAGGACACCCCCGGGTGCCACAGGCACCGCGTCCCCACGCCCGCTGTGCCACAGGCCGGGCTGTTGTGCCGGGATGGGACCTGCTGCCGGCGTTGTCACCTCCGGGGACTTCCCTGACGAGACGCTGGTGTTCGCCAAGGAGCACCCGCTGCTGCACGGCGCCGTGGGCCCCGCGGGCGGGCGGCCCCTCTTCACCCACACCGGCACCAGGTGCAGGGACAGGGTGGTCTCAGGGACAGGGTGGTCTTGGGGACAAGGTGGTCTCGGGGACAGGGTGGTCTCAGAGAGAGGGTGGCCTTGAGGACAGGGTGGCCTCGGGGAGAGGGTGGTCTTGAGGACAGGGTGGTCTTGGGGACAGGGTGGCCTCGGGGAGAGGGTGGTCTTGAGGACAGGGTGGCCTCGGGGGTGGGATGGACTTGTGGATGGGGACACAGGGACAGGGCAGCCTCGGTGGCCTTGTGGATGGAGTGGTCGTGGGGACAGGGAACAGCCGACGTGAGGAGGTTCAGGGTGCTGTAGGGTGACAGGGGACAGTCCTGGTCCAAGGCTCCTGTGAAGGGTGTGCGGGGCCACGGGAGGGTGCAGGAAGCCCCCAGGCCCGGCTTTGCGAGGCCGTGTCCTGCCGCAGGCTGACCCAGCTGGCCGTGGACACGGGCGCGGGGCCCCGCGGGAACCAGACCGTGCTGTTCCTGGGCGCCGAGGACGGGCGGCTGCTGAAGGTCCTGGCAGCTGCACAGAGCCCCGAGGCCACGCAGCCCCCCGGGGGCACCCCAGCACCGGGGGGCACCCGAGAGCCGGGGGACAGCAGGGACAGCAGTGGCAAGACGCTGCTGCTGGAGGAGATCAGCCTCTACGACCCCGGACGGTGAGGGGCAGGTGTGGGGTGCCCAGGGCTGGGGTTTGGGGGTCTCAGGGGATGCTGGAGGGGGCTTGTGGGGGCCATGGGTACTGGGAGTGCTGGGGTG